GCCCCGCTACGGCCCCGTCGGCCCAGCTTAGGCCCCGCTACGACCCCACTACAGCCCCGTCGGCCCCGTCGGCCCCGCAACGGCCCCGCTTAGGCCCCGTCGGCCCCGCTACGGCCCCGCTTAGGCCCCGCTACGGCCCTGCTACGGCCCCGCTACGGCCCCGCTACGGCCCCGTCGGCCCCGTCGGCCCCACTACAGCCCCGCTTAGGCCCCGTCGGCCCCGCTACGGCCCTGCTACGGCCCCGCTACGGCCCCGCTACAGCCCCGCTTAGGCCCCGCTTGTGAGAATTGAAACGAGAATGAGTGCACTAAGGAATGGAAAGTGGTACAAATATGCAACCCTAGAAATGTGTACCCCATATAAGCTACCCCACTACAGCCTACAGAACATTATGATTTGACACACCCCCATATGCAAAGTGGGGGAGAACAAGGGGTCACAAGACCAGTCAAGCAGAACAAAGCAAAGCTCAGGGTGGATCACAAAGTCACCACACATTCCGAGCACAAGTTCAAGGCCAGAAGGCCAGTTCACATGCAGGAGAACACATATATATATAAAAGGTAAACAAGCAAGTGCAGGAGTATATATATGTGACAGTACAAGCAAGGTCAAGAAGTGAGCAAGTGAGGCAAGGCAGGCACAAGACCAAGCTGAGTACAGAAGCGCTGATGATCACAAGGCCTAGTGCCTTAGTGAAGATATCAGCAGTGTTGGCCTCAGAGGCCACGTACGCAAGTCGCAACTGACCACGCTGCTGCAGCTCACGAGCAAGAAAGTAGCGGAGAGCAATGTGCTTCGTTCTGTGCTCCAGGCGCTGCTCCCGACACAAGGCCAGCATGGCCTTGTTGTCTACGTACAGCACAGGAGGAGAACGAGGCGGCTCTCCGAGGTCAGTCAGCAGGTAGGTGAGCCAGCGAAGCTCCTGAGCAGCCATGGCTCCTGCGTAGATCTCAGCCTCACAACTGGAGCCGAGAACAGAAGATGAGCGAGTAGCCCTCCACGAAACAGAGCCGGAACCAAGGCTGAAGGTCTAACCCTGTGACGACCGCTGTGTAGCCTGGTCGTCAGCCCAAGAAGCATCTGCGTGCCCAGTGAGGACCACTGGACTCTGCCCTCCAAGCACTAGCCCCATGCCCGACGTACTGCACAAGTAGCGCAACACCCTCTTCGCTGCAGCCATGTGCTCCGGTCTGTGTCTCCCAGGAGCAACATAGCGTGCAAGAATGCTAAGAGGGTATGCAAGGTCAGGTCGTGTGCAGGTCATCAGGTACATGAGGCAGCCAACAAGCTCTGGGTACGGGCCACTCGACTCTACGGACTCATCCGAAGGCAGAGCTGAGAGCGAGTGGCGAGTAGGCAGAGGAGTGGCCTGAGGAGAGGAGTACGTGAAGCTGAAGCGCTGAAGGACCTGCAAACCATGTGTGACTGAGTCAGAGTGATGGTGCGGCGTGCTCTGTCCCGGGTGATCTGCAAACCAAGGTAGCTGCGCAGTTCACCCAGGTCTGTGCACGTGTGTCTCTTCTGCAGCTCGGACTTCACGTGGGCGAGTCCAGCAGTGTCAGCAATGGCAAAGACCAAGTCGTCGACGTACACGAGGTTGTAGAACGGCGGCAAAGAGGTGTCGGTGCGCAGAAAGAGCGACGGGTCGGCAGTAGAGGGAGCAAACCCAAGAGCCGCAAGCGTAGTCCTCAGTGTGTCGTGCCACTCACGCAGTGCCTGGCGGAGACCGTAGACTGGCCGCCGGAGGCTCCACTGGGTGCCAGGAGGAAAAGTCTTAGTGAAGCCAGATGGGCGGCACAGCCAGATCTCCTCGTGTAAGCTACCCTGCAAGAAATCAGTGCTGAAGTCAAGAGAGTGAAGCTCGTAGTCGCGCTGAGCGGCTATGTGCAGCAGCACCCGAAGAGTGGTCATCTTCGGGGTGGGAGAGAAGGTATGAAAGTAGTCAACTCCCTGCCGCTGACTGAAGCCACGAGCCACGTAACGCGCCTTGAAGACAGGTGGAGAACCTGGCGGCCGCTTCACCCTGAAGATCCACATGCCACTGACTATGTTCGCCCCAGGTGGGGGAACCGCGTCAACGTAGGTGCCTGTGGACTTCCAGGAAGCCATCTCTGCATCCATAGCTGCCTGCCACTGAGAGGAGTAGGGACCCTCTACGGCCTCCGCGTAAGAGCGCAGAGTCGGGATGTCAAGTGCATCCGGGTCTCCCTCAGGGTAAGCAGTACGGACACGAGATGAGGTGAAGCAGCAGCCAGACACTGGAACTCCTCCTGCTTTTCCTCAAGGACGTCCGTGCCAAGGGCACACTCACCCCCGACGGACAGACGACAGACCGACTCAGACTCAGTGACAAGTCTAGCAGCGTAGTCTAGACGACAGCGAGCAGCAAAGTCGACGAGCTCAGCAACTAGGGCAGACGCAGCAGTGGACTCAAAAGAAGGGCCAGTGACGACAGTAGTAAGGAGACGCGTGACAGTAGGACTGGCAGCACGAAGAGAGTCCGACTCCGGGTCGGCAAGAGCAGGAAGATAAGACCCAGGAGGAGAAGGCAAAGGGGCACGCAGAGGAGCAGTGGACGGACGCAGAGACATCCGGTGCGTGCCAGGGACAAGAGGGTGCGCGGGTCACAACGAGAGGCCCCTACAGCGACTATGCTCTTCTCGGTCGCTAGGAGGGACTTCTCGAGGAGGTCAACAGTGAGAGTGGTGGGACAGACTGAGAGGAAGTGGTCCCTGACTACGCAAAGGGAGTCAGGGAGGCGAGTGACTATGTAGTAGAGAGTGATGTACATGGGGGGGGGGGGTCTTGGCGCAGAAGTCAGCAAGAAGCGTAGCGCGGTAGCGAGTGTCACTAGTGCGGAGGTGCGTAATGAGGTCAGCGACTGTGGGAAAGGCAGCAAGGTCAGGGAAGAGGTACGGTAGCATGAGACGGCTCAGTGCAGTAGTGGCAGGGGAGGAGTAGCGTGCAACTACAGCGTCGTACAGGGTCTGAGCACTCGTGTACTGACTAAAGTGCGCACGCTCAGAGGTAGGGAGGTGGCGACGCACAGCAAGACGTGCAGCAGCATCGCGCGTGGCCCACTGTGAGCGAACAGTGGCGTCAGCATCAGCAGCAGGAGCAGGAGAGGCACCAGAGGTGAGGTCAAAGGGAGAGACCGTCTGCCCTATCGCACTGTAAGAACAGCTGCAGGTCATCTACCCAGACGTCAAAGTCAATGGCTCGACCCTCGGCGTCAAAAGCGAGGACACTAGGGGTAGCCATGACAACAGTAGACTAGCAGCGCTGACTGTAGAGCAGGGGCAGTGCAGTGACAGAGGCGCTGCGCTCACCAGACAGGGCGGTTCGGGCAGCTCGGGCGGCTCGGCAGCAACTGTGGCTCGGCGGCACCCGCGGCTCGGCTCCTCAGCTGCTCGGGCGGCTCGGGCGGCTCGGGCGGCTCGGGCGGCTTGGGCGGCTCGGGTGGCTCGGGCGGCTCGGGCGGCTCGGGCGGAACAGGCGGCTCGGGCTGCTGAGCGGCGCGGGCGGCTCGGCTGCGTAGGCGGTTCGGGCGGGGCCATAGGTAGGGCGACGGGGCCGGGTCGAAGGTAGGGCGACGGGGCCGGTGCGCATGTAGGGCGACGGGGCCGGGGCCGGGGCGCAGGTAGGGCGACGGGGCCGGGTCGAAGGTAGGGCGACGGGGTCGGGGCTGGGCCGTAGGTAGGGCGACGGGGCCGGGTCGAAGGTAGGGCGCCCGGGCCGGGCCGTAGGCAGGGCGACGGGGCCGGGGTCGGGCCGTAGGTAGGGCGACGGGGCCGGGTCGACGGTAGAGCGACGGGGCCGGTGCGCAGGTAGGGCGACGGGGCCGGGGCCGGGGCGCAGGTAGGGCGACGGGGCTAGGGCCGGGGCTGCAGGTATGGCGACGGGGCCAGGGTCGAAAGGGGGGGGGGAGGGGGCGACGGGGCCGGGGTCGCAGGTAGGGCGACGGGGCCGGGGCGCAGGTAGGGCGACGGGGCCGGGGCGCAGGTAGGGCGACGGGGCCGAGGCGCAGGTAGGGCGACGGGGCCGGGGCGCAGGTAGGGCGACGGGGCTGAGGCGCAGGTAGGGCGACGGGGCCGGGGTCGTAGGTAGGGCGACGGGGTCGCTTGGGCGACAAATCAGGGGCCGCTAAGGCTGCGCGACTTGGCCGCTAGGGCGGCTCGACGAAGTCAGAGAAGGGAGCGCGACTCGAGCAGAGCGCGCTACGGGCAGAAAACAAAATTCGACTTGGTGGGCCCTAGGCACAGTTCCCACGAGGGAACCTGCTCGATACCATGTGAGAATTGAAACGAGAATGGGTGCACTAAGGAATGGAAAGTCGTACAAATATGCAACCCTAGAAATGTGTACCCCATATAGGCTACCCCACTACAGCCTACAGAACATTATGATTTGACACCGCTACGGCCCCGCTTCGGCCCCGCTTAGGCCACGCTGCGGCCCCGCTACGGCCCCACTTCGGCCCCGTCGGCCTCTCTACGGCCCCACTTAGGCCCCACTTCGACCCCGTCGCCACCGCGGCCCCGCCCACCCTTGCGGCCCGCCGCCACCTGCGACCTCGCCACCACCTACGACCCCGCCTCCCAGCGCCCGCAACGCCGAGCAGCCGAACAGCCGGCCACCTGAGCCGCCCGACCTCCCGAGCCGCCCAGCAGCCGAGCCGCCCGACAGCCGAGCCGCCCAGCACCGTGCAGCCGAGCCGCCCAGCAGCCGAGCCGCCCAGCAGCGGAGCCGCCCGACAGCCGAGCCGCCCCGCACCAGCAGCCGAGCCGCCTAGCAGCCGAGCCGCCCAGCAGCCGAGCCGCCCGACAGCCGAGCCGCCCCGCACCAGCAGCTGAGCCGCCCAGCAGCCGAGCCGCCCAGCAGCCGAGCCGCCCTGCAGCCGAGTCGCCTGACAGCCGAGCCGCCGAGCAGCCCGATCGCTCCACCTACCTGGTAAGAGCACAGTCTCTGCCACTGCACTGCCCTGCCTCCTGCTGTTATGGCTTCCCCTAGCATTCTCACCTTTGACGCTGAGGGTCGGGCAGTGGACTTTGAGGTCTGGGTAGATGATCTGCAGCTTTTCCTGCAGTGCGATAGGGCATACGGCCTCTCCCTGTTTGACCTCACTTCTGGTGCCTCCTCTGCCCCTGCTGCTGATGTTGACGCCACTATTCGCTCACAGTGGGCCACACGTGACGCTGCTGCTCGCCTTGCTGTGCGCCGCCACTTACCGACCACTGAGCATGCACACTTTAGCCAGTACAAGAGTGCTCAGACCTTGTACGACGCTGTAGTTGCACGCTACTCTTCCCCTGCCACTGCTGCACTCAGCCGCCTCATGCTACCGTACCTCTTCCCTGACCTTGCTGCCTTTCCCACTGTTGCTGACCTTATTACGCACCTCCGCACTAGTGACACTCGCTACTGCGCTGCGCTTCCTGCTGAGTTCTGCGCCAAGAACCCCCCCCCCCCCCATGTACATCACCCTCTACTACATAGTCACCCGTCTCCCTGACTCTCTCCGTGTAGTCAGGGACCACTTCCTCTCTGTTTGCCCCACCACTCTCACCGTTGACCTCCTCGAGAAGGCCCTCCTAGCGATACAGAAGAGCATAGTCGCTCTAGGCGCCTCTCGTGGTGACCCTCGCACCCCCGTCTTTGAGGGGTGTTCTCCCTCCCCCCTCTTGCCCTCTGTTGCCTCTGCTGCTGCGGCCGACCTCGTTGGTTTCGAGTCCGTCCGCGCTGCGTCTGCCCCGAGCGGGAGACGCCGCACCGGCAAGGGCAAGGGGGGCAAGGGCACTGGAGGAGGTGGAGGGGGCGGTGGAGGTGGTGGTGGAGGCGGTGGAGGGAGTGGGGGTGGTAGTGGGAGTGGTGCTGGGGGTGGCGGCGGCCGCGGCAGCAGTGGAGGCGGCGGAGGCGGTGGTGGTGGCGGAGGGAGCGGAGGCGGCGGAGGTAGTGGAGGAGGCGGAGGTGGAGGAGGCGGCGGAGGCGGCGGAGGCGCCAGCGGCGGCGGAGGCGGCGGTGGTGGAGCGAGTCACGACTCTGCGTCGAGGAGTGGCGCCAGTGGTGGTCAGCGCCAGCAGCAGCAGCGGAGTGGTGTGACCCTGTCCCCTCAGCAGCTTCGTGAGTGGTACACTGCACGCCAGCGCGGTAGGGGGTTTTGGTCCCTGCTCTTACGTTCTCTGTACCGGCGACCGCACTGGTGAGTAGTGCGGGGGTCCGCACTCCACCCAGCGCTGCTTTGGTCGCCTGACGGACGCGTGGCGTCGCCAGTTCCCTGAGGCGTCAGAGATCCCTCGCTGGGGAGAGCTGTCTAGGGCGGGGGTTGCTATCTTTGATCTTGACTTTGATGCTATTCTTGCTGCCATGTATGCTGTTGCTGATAGTGTTGAGGGTGCCTGTTACCTGTGTGTACCGCCTGACCCGGGCATTGAGGCTGCTGCGCTAGGTGCTGGTGAGACTGCTGCTCTAGGTGCTAGTGCGTCTGCTGCCCCAGGTGCCAGTGCGTCTGCCGCCCCAGGTGCTCGTGAGTCTGCTCTCTCCGGTACTACGTCGGCTCAGGCCTTCCACACCTTCACCCTGGACTCGGGTGCGTCCCGCTCCTTCTTTCGAGACCGCACCACTCTTACGCCGCTTAGTCGGCCGGTTGCAGTCTCCCTAGCAGACCCCTCTGGGGGTCCTGTCCTTGCTAGCTTCTCCACTGTCCTTCCGTGCCCTGGAGCCCCCTCTGGCACCCTGTGTGGTCTCTACCTCCCCTCGTTCTCTACGAACTTGGTGAGTGGAGCGGACCTACAGGATCGAGGGGTTGACTAGTTCACTCCTCCGAGTCAGCGAGTGACCCACTGCAGGTGTGGTCGGACAGGCCGACACTTGGCCATGTTCACCCGTCGGCCAAGGTCGAGCCTGTACACCCTTACAGCTGAGTCTCCTCCTACTGCTGAGTCTGCCCAGGTTGTTGCGTCGAGTCAGGTGCTTGCTGCGGTGTCCAGGTCTGGTCCTGAGTCTGCCCCCTACTCATGTCGTCTGTTGTCCCACCAGACTCTCCTTTGCCTCGTCTCCGAGGCATGGCCTCCCGTGTCCTTGTCTCTGGTCTTCCTCGGTCTCTCCCTCCCCTTCCTCCGGGGCCTGGCCCTACCTACGTCCCCTGCGTCGAGGGGCGACAGCGCGCCGCCGCTCACTCCTTCGAGTTTCCTCCGACAGAGGCTCCGCTGCAGACTCTACACATGGATGTGTGGGGCCCAGCCCGCGTCAGTGGGCAGGGGAGAGAGCGGTACTTTCTGCTGGTCGTTGACGACTACTCGCGTTACACCACAGTCTTCCCCTTGCGCAGCAAGGGTGACGTCACTGAGGTGTTGATCGACTGGATCCGCGCAGCTCGTCTCCAGCTCAGAGGTGTTTTGCGTCTGCACTCGGACAGAGGAGGGGAGTTTTCCTCTGCCCGTCTGGGAGCCTTCTGTCAGGCACAGGGCATCCGCCAAACCTTCACGCTTCCGGCTTCTCCACAGCAAAATGGGATTGCTGAGCGCCGCATTGGCATGGTCATGGACGTCGCGCGTACGTCCATGATCCATGCGGCTGCCCCCCATTTTCTGTGGCCGTTTGCGGTTCAGTACGCCGCGCATCAGCTCAACCTTCAGCCCCGGGTCTCCTTGCCAGAGACCTCCCCCGCCTTGCGGTGGACAGGGAAGGTTGGCGATGCGTCTGCGTTTCGGGTCCGGGTATCTCGGGCGTTTGTCCGCGACTTGTCTGCGGACAAACTGTCCCCCCGTGCTGTTCCTTGTGTCTTCCTTGGCTTCCCCCCTGACGCGCCTGGCTAGCAGTTTTACCACCCCACCACGCGCCGTGTTCTGTCCTCCTAGGACGTCACCTTTGACGAGTCGGTGCCTTACTACCGTCTCTTCCCCTACTGCATACCGCCCCTCCCCCCGCCGCCGCTCTTCCTTGCGCCAGGTGCTACTCAGGTAGACCCCCTCCCTCCTCAGGGTCCTGCCCCTTCAGGTGTGTCCCAGGTAGACCCAGTCGAGCCTGTCGAGGTAGCTGTAGACTCTGGTGCTGCTAGAGGTGCTGAGCCTGCGGGTGCCGGGTTTGCGGGTGTCGGGTCTGGGGGTGCTGAGTCTGGGGGTGCTGAGACTGGAGGTGCTGAGCCTGGGGGTGCTGAGTCTGGGGGTGCGGAGCCTGGGGGTGCTGGGTCTGCTCGTGTGGCCGCCGGCGGTACTTCGTCGAGGCGGGAGCCGCTCTCTCCACAGGAGCTGCGCGTGTGGTTCGCCCGCCGCTGGAGACGTGCTGCTGAGTCCAGGGGTGTTAGCGCTGATGTTTCTACTGGTGCTGGTGCGTCTGGGGGTGCTGCTGAGGCAGCTGGTGCTGACGGTCCTACTGGAGTTGGTGCTGCTGGAGCTGGAGCTCCTGGGGGTGTTGGCGCTGGTGTTCCTACTGGTGCTGGTGCGTCTAGGGGTGCTGCTGAGGCAGCTGGTGCTGACGGTCCTACTGGAGTTGGTGCTGCTGGAGCTGGAGCTGCTAGGGGTGTTGGCGCTGGTGTTTCTACTGGTGCTTACGGTCCTACCGGAGTTGGTGCTGCTGAAGCTGGAGCTGCTGGGGGTGTTGGCGCTGGCGGTGCTGCTGGCGCTGGTGCTTTTGAGGGTACTGGAGTTGGCGCTGTTGGAGCTGGAGGCTCTGCTGGCGCTGGTGCTGCCGCTGGGGGTACAGGTGCCGTACTTGCTGGTTCTAGAGGCGCTGCGCGGCCGAGGCCGTACTTCGTTCTACTCCTGGAGCAGGTTCTTGACTCCCGCCCTCTACTGGTCCTGTTCCTTCCCTAGAGTGTCCACCGCCTGTCCAGTCGCAGTCACAGTTACCGCCCGCCTCCCCTCTACCTTCTCCTTCTCCCTACACTGGTCCTACTGGAGGTCTTGCTGAGCGTCGTGAGCCTGCGTCTCGTCCCACGTCACCTGTTTGTGCTGCTCGCACTAGTGGTCGTACTGCGCGTCCGCGTCCTCCTGCGGTCCCCGGCACACACCAGATGGCACTGCGTCCTTCCACTGCTCCTCTGCGTGTCCCGTTGCCGTCTCCTCCAGAGTCCTCTCTTCCTTCGCTTGCTGACCCGGAGTCTGACTCCCTTCGTACTGCTAGTCCTTCGGTCACGCGCCTTCTTGCTACTATCGTCACTGACCCTTCCTTTGAGTCTGCTGCTGCGTCTGCTCTCGTTGCTGAGCTTGTCGACTTTGCTGCTCGCTGTCGTCTAGACTACGCTGCCAGTCTTGTTGCTGAGTCTGAGTCTGTCTGTCCTCCGTCCGTCGGGGGTGAGTGTGCTCTTAGCACGGACGTCCTTGAGGACAGGCAGGAGGAGTTCCAGTGCTTTGCGGTTGCTTTGCCCCATCTCGTGTCCACGCTGATTGCCCCTGAGGGAGACCCGGATGCACCAGACATCCCGACTCCTCGATCGTACGCTGAGTCGATCGAGGGTCCCTACTCCTCTCAGTGGCAGTCGGCCATGGATGCAGAGATGGCTTCCTTGAAGTCCACAGGCACCTACGTCGAAGAGGTTCCCCCACCTGGGGCGAACATCGTCAGTGGGATGTGGATCTTCAGGGTGAAGCGGGCGCCGGGCTCTCCGCCTGTCTTCAAGGCGCGTTACGTGGCTCGAGGCTTCAGCCAGCAGCAGGGAGTTGACTACTTTCAAACCTTCTCTCCCACCCAGAAGATGACCACTCTTCGGGTGCTACTGCACATAGCCGGTCAGCGCGACTACGAGCTTCACTCTCTTGACTTCAGCACTGCTTTCCTGCAAGGCAGCCTGCACGAGGAGATCTGGCTGCGCCGCCCTCCTGGCTTCATTGGGTCGTTTCCTCCTGGCACCCAGTGGAGCCTCTAGCGGCCAGTCTATGGTCTCCGCCAGGCACCCCGTGAGTGGCACGACATACTGAGGACTACACTTGCGGCTCTTGGGTTTGCTCCTTCTACACCCGACCCGTCGCTGTTTCTACGCACCGACACCTCTTTGCCGCCGTTCTACATCCTCGTGTACGTCGACGACCTGGTCTTTGCCACTGCTGGACTCGCCCACGTGAAGTTGGAGCTGCAGAAGAGACACACGTGCACAGACCTGGGTGAACTGCGCAGCTACCTTGGCTTGCAGATCACCCGGGACAGAGCACAGCGCACCATTACCCTGACTCAGTCACACATGGTGCAGCAGGTCCTTCAGCGCTTCGGCTTCACGTACTCCTCGCCTCAGGCCACTCCTCTGCCTACTCGCCACTCGCTCTCAGCTCTGCCTTCGGATGAGTCCGTAGAGTCGAGTGGCCCGTACCCAGAGCTTGTTGGCTGCCTCATGTACCTGATGACCTGCACACGACCTGACCTTGCATACCCTCTTAGCATCTTGGCACGCTATGTTGCTCCCTGGAGACACCGACCAGAGCACATGGCTGCAGCGAAGAGGGTGTTGCGCTACGTGTGCAGTACGTCGGGCATGGGGCTAGTGCTTGGAGGGCGACGTCGAGTAGTCCTCACAGGTCACGCTGACACTTCTTGGGCTGACGACCAGGCTACGCAGCGGTCGTCACAGGGTTACACCTTCAGCCTTGGCTCGGGCTTTGTTTCGTGGCGGTCTACCCGCTCGTCTTCTGTTCTCGGCTCCAGCTATGAGGCTGAGATCTACGCAGGGGCCATGGCTGCACAGGAGCTACGCTGGCTCACCTACCTGCAGACTGACCTAGGAGAGCTGCCTCGTTCTCCTCCAGTTCTGTACGTAGACAACAAGGCCATGCTGGCCTTGTGTCGGGAGCACAGACTGGAGCACAGAACGAAGCACATTGCTCTCCGCTACTTCCTGTCTCGTGAGCTGCAACAGCGTGGTCAGCTCCGCTTCACCTACGTGGCCTCTGAGGCCAACACTGCTGATATCTTCACCAAGGCCCTTCCGCCTTGTGACCATCAGCGCTTCTGTACTGTACAGAGCCCGACTACAACGGCTGCTGCTCGCCCGTTACTGCTAACGGGACTTCGCCAACCTCGCGCGCACTTTTTTGCCAAACCTCACACTGCTGGCCCGGCCATGTCGGCCTACGCTTCGGGACTAGCCCGAGCCTCGCCGCCAGCGTAGCACTAGCTAGCTCGCACGTACCGCGTTACCGTTTGCATGTTTCGCGCATAAATGTTCGCTCACATTTTGTACTCGTTTGACACCTTAGTGCAATCCTCGCTACCTCGATCTATTGCACCCGTAACACTTGGTATTCAGAGCCTCTCTCCTTTTTGGACCGCGCATCTCCGCACCCCAGGAAATCAACTTTTGATTTTTCACTCGAAGGGACTCCCGCACCTCATCACCTAGGAGCCGCTGTTATTGCGTTCACTCGTAAACGCGTGCAGCCACGACTGCGCCTAGACTAAGACGAGCCGACGCCCTTCGAAATGGCTGAGCATATCAATGTCACGACTCTCACGCAGGAGCACTTGAACGATCTGCTGCGACAAATCCGCGAGAGCGCTGAAGAAATCGCGACGTTGAGGCAGAACGCTCGTCCCTGCAAAATGACCTCACACGAGCACAACAAGCACAATCTCAAGCACCTGGCACTCTGGAACAGCCCGTACCACAAGCATCACAACATAGAAGCATGGGGCAACCCGCGAGCGCGGCCAGTGATGGCGTCGTCCGCCCCGACGGAGACGACGACCACGGCACGACACACCCCGAAGCGACGAATGCGGCCCGAAGCCAGCCACGCATCACAATTTCTGCACCAACCGATGGTTCGGCACTACCGTCACCGATGCCGCTGAAGCCGCAGCGTCCGCCATGCTTCGATCCCAGCCAACAGGGTGGTCCTACCGTTCAGGCGTGGTTGTTCACGATGAACGTGTTTTTCGTCGCCAACTAAGTCTCGGAGGATACGGCAAAAATTCGCTACGCCGTGTCGCTGCTGCAAGGACCCGCCATGGATTGGTGGCGCGTCATCGTCACGAAGCCGATGGACTACGCGACACTACCGACACGGGAAGGACAAATCGGACCCTGGGCGACGTCGTATTTCGTGGAGGTGCCCCAGTATCGCACGTGGGACGCGTGGTGCACAGGTCTGCGCACTCGTTTCGAGCAAATCGCGGCTTCAATCGCGGCGCGACAGAAGCTCCGCACTTGGCGCCAACTCAGTTCCGTCCAGGTCTACACGAGCGGATTTCTGGCGCTATGCGAGTAGGTGGGATATATGCACGAGAGCGAGCGCATCGACCGCTACATCGGCGGCCTGAAGCAGGACATCGCTCAGGAAATCCAGCTTCGCGGCGTCACCGATTTTCAAGAAATTCTCGCTATGGCGGAGAAACTCGACTTCTTCCGCCGACCGAGACCGGGGTCCTACGGAAGCAGCCATTGGGGACATCGATCTCGTGGGAAACGAGGGCGCCATGATACGTGCCGTCGCCGCAAATGCCGTTGTCGCACCATTCAAAGGGCGCCGCTTTGCGTGCAATCGGCCGGGACATCGCAAGAACGAATGCCCGGAAAACGCTAAGGGAAAGGGGGAAGCTTGAGAAGAAACGAGAATGAATGAACTATGAATTAATTGGGTACAAGTACTAACCCTAATTGGGTTGTACCCCTTATGGGCTACCCCACTATAGCCTACACAATATGCATGAGCTATAATGTTCTAACACACCCCCATAGGCAAAGTGGGGGAGAACAAGGGGTCACAAGACCAGTCAAGCAAAGCAAAGCAAGCTCAGGGTGGATCACAAAGTCACCACACATTCCGAGCACAAGTTCAAGGCCACAAGGCCAGTTCACATGCAGGAGTATATATATATAAAAAGGCTTGACAAGCAAGAGCAGGTATATATATATATGTAACAGTACAAGCAAGGTCAAGAGGTGAGCAAGTGAGGCAAGGTAGGCACAAGGCCCAGCTGAGTACAGAAGCGCTGATGGTCACAAGGCGCAAGCGCCTCGGTGAAGATATCAACAATGTTGGCCTCAGAGGCCACGTATGCAAGACGCAGCTGATCACGCTGCTGCAGCTCACGAGCAAGAAAGTAGCGGAGAGCAATGTGCTTCGTTCTGTGTTCCAGTCGCTGCTCCTGACACAAGGCCAGCATGGCCTTGTTGTCTACGTACAGCACTGGAGAAGAGCGAGGCGGCTCTCCGAGGTCAGTCAGCAGCTAGGTGAGCCAGCGAAGCTCCTGTGCAGCCATGGCTCCTGCGTAGATCTCAGCCTCACAACTGGAGCCGAGAACAGAAGACGAGCGAGTAGCCCGCCACGAGACAGAGCCGGAACCAAGGCTGAAGGTGTAACCCTGTGACGACTGCTGCGTAGCCTGGTCGTCAGCCCAAGAAGCGTCTGCGTGACCAGTGAGGACCACTGGACTCTGCCCTCCAAGCACTAGCCCCATGCCCGACGTACTGCACAAGTAGCGCAACACCCTCTTCGCTGCAGCCATGTGCTCCGGTCTGTGTCTCCCAGGAGCAACATAGCGTGCGAGAATGCTAAGAGGGTATGCAAGGTCAGGTCGTGTGCAGGTCATCAGGTACATGAGGCAGCCAACAAGCTCTGGGTACGGGCCACTCGACTCTACGGACTCATCCGAAGGCAGAGCTGAGAGCGAGTGGCGAGTAGGCAGAGGAGTGGCCTGAGGTGAGGAGTATGTGAAGCCGAAGCGCTGAAGGACCTGCTGCACCATGTGTGACTGAGTCAGGGTAATGGTGTGGCGTGCTCTGTCCCGAGTGATCTGCAAGCCAAGGTAGCTGCGCAGTTCACCCAGGTCAGTGCACGTGTGTCTCTTCTGCAGCTCGGACTTCACGTGGGCGAGTCTAGCAGTGTCAGCTGTGGCAAAGACCAAGTCGTCGACGTACACGAGGATGTAGAACGGCGGCAAAGAAGTGTCGGTGCGCAGAAACAACGACGGGTCGGCAGTAGAGGGAGCAAAGCCAAGAGCCGCAAGTGTAGTCCTCAGTGTGTCGTGCCACTCACGCGGTGCCTGGCGGGGACCGTAGACTGGCCGCCGGAGGCTCCACTGGGTGCCAGGAGGAAAAGACCCAGTGAAACCAGGTGGGAGACGCAGCCAGATCTCCTCGTGCAGGCTGCCCTGCAAGAAAGCAGTGCTGAAGTCAAGAGAGTGTAGCTTGTAGTCACGGTGAGCAGCTATGTGCAGCAGTACCCGAAGAGTGGTCATCTTCGGGGTGGGAGAGAAGGTCTGAAAGTAGTCAACTCCCTACCACTGACTGGAGCCACGAGCCACGTAACGCGCCTTGAAGACAGGTGGAGAACCCGGCGGTCGCTTCACCCTGAAAATCCACATGCCACTGACGATGTTCGCCCCAGGAGGGGGAAGAGCGTCAACGTAGGTGCGTGTGGACTTCCAGGAAGCCATCTCTGCGTCCATAGATGCCTGCCACGGAGAGGAGTAGGGACCCTCTATCGCCTCCGCGTAAGTGCATCCGGGTCTCCCTCAGGGGTAAGCAGTACGGACACGAGATGAGGTGAAGCAGCGGCCAAGCACTGGAACTCCTCCTGCCGGTCCTCAAGGACGTCCGTGCCAAGGGCACACTCACCCCCGACGGACGGAGGACAGACAGACTCAGACTCAGCAACAAGACTGGCGGCGTAGTCTAGGCGACAGCGAGCAGCAGAGTCGACGAGCTCAGCAACTACGGCAGACGCAGTAGTGGACTCAAAGAAAGGGTCAGTGACAACAGTAGCAAGGAGACGCGTGACAGTAGGACTGGCAGCATGAAGAAAGTACGACTCCGGGTCGGCAAGGGCAGGAAGAGAAGACTTAGGAGGAGAAGGCAAAGGGGCACGTAGAGGAGCATTGGACGGACGCAGAGACATCCGGTGCGTGCCAGGGACAAGAGGAGGACACTGACGCGAACCGCGACCACTAGTGCGAGCAGCACGGACAGGCGACGCAGGGCGAGACGCAGGCTCACGACGCTCAGCAAGACCTCCAGTAGGACCAGTGTAGGGAGACGGAGCAGGCAGTGGGGAGGCCGGCTGTAACTGTAACTGCGACGGGACAGGCTGTGGACACTCTAAGGGAGGAGGAGGACCAGTAGAAGACGGGAGACCAAGAACCTGCAGAAGGAGCGGAACGAAGTACGACCGAGGCCGCGCGGCGACTCCAGACACAGCAGGGAAAGCACCAGCACCCCCAGTGGCAGCACCAGCACCAGTAGCAGCTCCAGCTCGAGTACCTCCAGCAGCACCAGTAGTACCCCCAGCAGGACCGCCTCCAGGACCGGCAGTAGTAGCCTCCGCGCCAACACCCGCAGCAGCTCCAGCTCCAGAAGTAGCCGCCGGTCCAGCAGCTTCCGTACTCCCAGTACGAGCACCTCCGGGACCCGTGGCACCAGCTCCCTCAGCAGCAACAGAACCTCCATTACCCGCAGCACCTCCAGCTCCAATAGCTCGCCTCCAGCGCCGGGCAAACCACTCACTCAGCTTCTGTGGAGAGAGTGGCTCCCGGCGAGAAGAAGCACCCGGAGAACTGCCAGGCACAGCACCAGCAGGCCCACCTCCCTCAAGCTCCGCACCCCTAGGCTCAGCACCTCCAGGCATAGCACCACTAGGCCCAGCACCCCCAGGCTCAGCACCCCCAGGCTCAGCACCCCCAGGCGTAGCACCCCCAGGCTCAGCAACCCCAGACTCAGCACCCCCAGGCTCAACACCCCCAGTCGTAGTACCCTCAGGCTCAGCACCCCCAGGCGTAGCACCTACATGCTCAGCACCCTCAGAGTCAGCACCACCAGGCTCAGCACCCTCAGCAGCACCAGAGTCACTAGCAACCTCGACAGGCTCAACACCGTCTACCTGGGACACACCTGAAGGGGCAGGACCTTGAGGGGGGAGGGGGTCTACCGGGGGGGGGGGCCTGGCACAAGGAAGAGCGGTGGCGGGGGGAGGAACAGAGTGCGGTAGGGGAAGAGACGGTAGTAGGGGACCGACTCCTCGAACGTGATGTCCTGGGAGGACAGAATACGGCGAGAGGTGGGGTGGTAGAACTGCCACCCTTATGCGTCGGGGGGGGAACCCAGGAAGACGCAAGGAGCAGCACGAGGGGACAGCTTGTCCCTAGACACGGAACGCAGACGCATCGCCAACCTTCCCCATCCACAGCAAAGCTGGGGAGGTCTCCGGCATGGAGACCCTGGGCTGAAGGTTGATCTGATGCGCCGCGTACTGAATCGCAAACGGCCACAGAAAATGGGGGGCAGCCGCATGCATCATGGACGTACGGGCGACGTCCATGACCATGCCAATGCGGCGCTCAGCAATCCCATTTTGCTGTGGAGAGT